TAGAAATTAATTAATTGTAATTAAACGCTAAAAATTGTCTGTTTTGTGGAGTTTACTACTTCAGGCATTTTTTTTTAAAACATCGTTAATAATTCCAATAATTAAACAATGACATACCCTGTCAATTAAATTAAATTAAATTAAATTAAATTAAATTAAATTAAATTAAATTAAATTAAATTAAATTAAATTAAATTAAATTAAATTAAATTAAATTAAATTAAATTAAATTAAAAACAGACCAAGTATAAAAGTGAATATGGCGAACAGATTGCAGTGTGAAAATCGGACTACAGGGTGAATAAATCCGAAAACTATCAAACAAATATATGCGATTGTTACTGCTAATATATTTCATAGGCATTTACCTTCTGTAATTCGCTGTAATTTGTCAATAGTTATATGGCTAAGACATTTTGCAGTTGCAATATGTCTTCCTCCTACATAACATAAGCTGGTGTGACATAAACTATCATTCACACACTGGTTTATACGATTCCTTTACATCTTACACATCAAGCTTTATTGAACAACTGTACTGCTGTGGTTATTGTACCGGACTAACGATCGCCAACCGCCTATTCAAATTCTATTTAAGTTGAACACCAGCAAAGTTAGTGCCGTACACTGCATTGAAAGTCCTGTAGCCAGAGACAAATGCACTCACTAAAGAATGAAACATTACAGGAACCTTGGTTAAGATCCATAAGTGCTTGTATTTGACCGGGCTGCATAGTCCGGATGGCCAGACAGCATGAATGTCACGCATTCACAATAATGTATTATGCGTGCTAATGTTAGGAGAGACAACAGCCTCATTTACTGTCCCAAACTGTCGCCTAGCACAAAAGAATTTATAAAAAGTAAAAATGAATGTTTAATCAATTCCAGACTTCTACCCCGTATATCATGAAAGTTTAGTGTAATGGAGCTGTGTATACAGTATAAATAAAATTCCCAGATATTCGTTTGCTCCTTGCAAGTAGATCAAACTTTTGACATCATTGCCGCGTCTCATAAAAATCGTTTATTATATGATATTATTTTCAACAATTATCAATGTAGTGACTATTTCATAAAAAGAAAAAAACAAAAAACAAAATGAGTTTTAGTGGTTACCAAAACTTCGTTGAAAGGTATAGAAACGAGACATTGACCCTCAAATAAGTGTCCATTTTCTCTTGTGCAACAGTAAAACGTGATG